ATCCTGCCTTTTATAGATAGAGATATATTGTAGAACAGGTATATTGACCTTGACTTGTATAAAAATACGTATGCTGTTGGCACACTGAATGATTTTAAAACCCTAAGTCAGCACATAATCAGCAAAATTTTGCCGACTCCTGATCTAGAAGATTTGGGGGTTTCTTGAATGTGATTTCAAATTTAAGTACAGAACTATGCCTCAAAGCTGAAATTAGGATTTGAATATACATGACAATGGATAACAGGGAGTTTTATAAATGTCCAAGCTACGAAGAGGAGGCAGAACCTTTTATATCCTAGCAAGAAACAGCTTGAACAATCAAAGAAATACCTTAAGACCCATATCCTTGATTCGGCTAACGTTAACGTGGAGGATTCTAGAAGTCAATAAACAAGTCATTTTATTTTTATGTATGAAGAATTACGTCTCATATTTCTATCAGACCCTACGAATATAACTTTAGAATATTAATTTGACAACATGACAATTTTTTAAAAAATTGTTCGAGAATCCCGTGATAATGAATATTGTCGAAGTATCGAAGATTATTTACCCTACTTTCAATCAATGAAAGTTAATTAGTAGAGCCTATTTCCTGTAAAGGATGCGAAAATTCGCATAGCTAAAGCCTGGGACCGTATTGAATCAAATAAATGTAATCTAGAAATCTAATCTACCAGACAACCTCAAAACCGAGCTTCGTTCGCGCCACTATGAAGTCATTATTAATGTATGGTGCCACGACTTGGATACTTGCTAAAACCCTTGAGTCTTAGCTTGATGGAAGCTACACTCGGATGTTAAGAGCTATACATAATTTCTCTCGGAGAGAACATCCAACTAAATCACAGACCTATTCTTGATATTTCTACAATCTTACACCAACATGAAATGCACTGTGCAGGTGAGAAGAACAAGAACTTGAGACACTCAGCAATAGCACAAGACGAATTGGGATCCCAGGAATAACTTACATTGGCTATGTTATGACACAAGGAAAAATTAGCAGTGCTAGGTTGAGAAATTCTAATACATCCGATAGAAATCGTTGCATGATAGCGACGAGATGCGTGAAGATGGATGACAATTCAATAAACTGAAAATATTCTGACGTTGATTCATTGATTTGTTTTTACGGCTTATCAACCATTGTAAATTATTTATAATCAGAAAATATTTTTAGATAGTAAGAATTGATTTTTTTTTTTTGTTATTTTTGGAGATAACGATTTAGTGATACAAGTCTTACTAATTAACCCATAGATGGGAGAGAGAAGATGTGAAGTCATAGTCTTTCCCAAAGGTATTTGTGCGCATGTGAATATGACGAAATCAACTGAAATTGGAACTCGGCAATCCGATTAACAATTCCGAGCCATTATCCATTGCGCCACCCGCACATCAAAGCTCACAGAACATGGCATTCCCAACCCGTCACTCATCCAGGTACTGACCAGTCTCAACGTGGTTTAACTTCAGGTGATTGTGCGGGATCGGTGTTTCAAGCTAATATGGGCGTAAGCCTTACTCTGATTTGACAAAAGCTACGACATAATATCATATAGGACTCATGTTACCCTACGAAATACAGTGCCTTGTTGAGAGATGTCGTGCTTTGCCATCTCGATACTTGTCCACAAATCCCTGATAATTTTGGGTTCAGTAACATGCGGGCAAATACGCCACTCCCCCACGCTGATGGAACGCATGCTTGGTGTAATGCCGGGTGAACGCGGTGGTCACAGCAGTGGATGGAAGAACCCCAAATGCACCTGAAACAACACTGTGAAACTTGGGCTTGATAACGCATTGCATTATCATGCTGGAATAACAAATAATTGGGGGCGGGATTCGTGGAGACAATGATGGTGACATCCAAGAAGCGCAACATAGGAGTCATTTTTAATGACATATATAATCGGACCAAATATACCTCACGTGAATATAACCCACATAATTATCAAACTGCAGAATACCATATTGACAACTAAGATTCATAAATACATGGAAAACGGCAAAACGTTTCCATCCCCCACAACAAACTGTAAATTTGACTCATCAGACTTACCAGTCCTGCAGAGTCCAATTAGCGACACTACGAGCCCCGAGGTACCTTGTTGTGCTCATGTTCCTGTATTTAACAGAAGTAAAAGAACGTTGAAATGACCTGCTACCTCCCTCTGTTGGATCTGGATATTATTTGAGCCAGTGTTGCTTGTCTGTTAACTCAGACAATCTGAGCCAGCTACCTCTAGTCACGATCATTAATGACTCGAGGTCAGTCCCTGCGCTGTCCACGGTAAGCGATCATGCCTTTGATTAGATATTTCTCGTACACATCAAACACCGTAAGATCGACGGATATCAAATGTCCCAAACAACCCTCTGGCCACAGTTATCATCACCTGTTCGAATTCCAATGAACCCTATCTCGTGTTCACACTAACCCACTAGGTCTTGGAGAATAAGTTGGTATAGATCATGGCATTTTCATGACATCAAGGTGTTGAAATTCCACAGTATTTCAAATAAAAGTTTGAAAGGAAGCATTCATTAATATTGTAACAGATACTCTTGAGAAAAAAACTCTATCACGAAACGTATTTTCCTGAAAAATCTTTTTAAGAGAAAGCTTTCATAAATTTCAACTGAAAGTAGTACTGCCTGCTCAGCCAGTGAAAGACGAAATGGCTAATATTAACATGAGCATTACGAGAGTAATGTAGCCATACCTACCATTTCCTTTATAAAATACTTTCTAATGACTTCCGGCTCATCAGTATAAATAAATACAGGTATCCCTCGATTATTGCGCATTCCGTTTATGCGTTTTCGATTAGTGCAGTAAACTTGTTATATACCAAAATTCGATTAGTGCATAAATAATACTCGATTATTGGGGTAAAACATTGTCCAGATTAGACATAGTAATTAAAAATTGATTTTTTATAGTTATCGATTAATCTAAAAAGTTCCAAAATTTAAAAAATGGTAACTATTTTGTCATGTATTACATTACCTAAGTAATTACAGTAGTGTTAAAAAGAAATGGACAGTTATAAATAGATATTTTTTATAATATAAGCTGATAATAAAAATATATATTTGAATATTTGTCTCTATTAAAACTTTTTTGAATATTTTGATCTTTTTTTCATGTTTATTTTGAAGGTCTTAAAAGGAAATTTCTGAGGTTTTATTTGTTAAAAATGGAAGATTTAATTAGATACAGAAGTTGATATTTATTAAAAAAAATTATCGAAATTTGAAAGATGTATCTATTTAGTATGGAAAGTTAAAATACCAATGATAATATGTTTGGAAAATTTGAAAGGACAATTTCTCAGTACGGCCAAATATATGAAGAACAGAGAATACCATGTGGCAAACCACTCGAAATAAGTTTTTTCATAAACAATCAGATTAATAAACATTAATTCAGAGCGTTTTTATTGTAACTTCTTATATGTACCGATATTTTAATTGAGAAGTACGCAAATTAGAAATTAATTATAAATGAAACTAAACTTCAGAGTCTGTCTATATTTCTGAGATGACGTATTATGTACATTATTTACATTATTCGGACTATTGTCCTCATCTTTGTTGCCATATTTATCACAACGTTTCGGCCGTTGTACTCTCCGGCCTTCTTCAGATGGTTGGAATGTCGAACTGAAGAAAACCGGGGCGTACAACGGCCGAAACGTTGTGATAAATATGGCGACAAAGATGAGGACAATAGTTCGAATAATGTAAATAATGAAACTAAACTTCGCTGTACAAATTACATCATTTAGGGTGAGTTATATTCGATTAATGCATTTTTGATGAGTACGTATCTTTTAATGTAGACATTAGACGCATTAATCGAGGGATTCTTGTAATTCGAATACAGTTCGCTAATTAGGTTTTCATGAAGCTATGTATTATAATATTGCTGATTTTTTTTCAAAAAGAAACACATAGTTGTCAAGATAATTTGGTGAGCGTTTTTTCTTTTCTCAAAATTTCTTATACTATCGTTTGAATATTCCTTATCAAAATTTTTTGCTTCAGAATTCCATCTATGGCTCAGCCATTTTTTTTTCCTTTGCTATACTTCAGGTCGATAAGAAAATCTCAAAAGTATATCTTCGGATTAGTGTCGAGGAGGGGAAACCGGAAATAAACTTTAAACAGAAGTCATTTTCTAGTTGCCATTTTTCTTTTTTTTCGTTTGTTTTGTTTTTTGCATGATTTGGTAAGAATGAAAAAAAATTGAAGAAAAAAAGAAACAAAAATGTAACAAAAACATAACAGATAATTCTATATTCGATATGAAAACTATTTTCTCTTTTTTATAAAAAGTATTTTAGTTAGACGCAAAAGAGGTTAATTTTGTTACTAACTAAACTATAGACTAAAATTTTGGGAACCTTATGTGGATTTGATAACTGATAAATTTCTTTCCCTCTTTGGCTTAATTAACCGCTGCTAAACATGCCGGAAGTATTCAACCAGTTAACGCATAGCATTTTCAGAGAGCGGGGTATATAAAATTTAAATCCGCCATCTATAAATTATCATTGGCCAACAAGGTAGATTAGAGAAAAAGAGTGAAAATCTTCAGGGAAATATATGCAGTAATTAATTCATTACATTTTTTTATCCTATTGTAATTGTGTTTGTGCCTTCATTCGTTAGTTCGCACGGCCGTTATGTCCTGCCAATATCTCATAAATAAAAGAGATATATGGAAAGAGGAGGAAAGAACACTACTTCATTTCAGTGAGTAAATGAAAGAACGAACGAAAGAAGGAAGCAAACAAGCAAAGAAGGAAGGGAAGATAGAAGTGTTTGACATGTCCTTCCAATACCCTCATAAAATATGGACTATTCCGTGATCATCGCCTGGTTAGTGGGAAAGAACACTACAGCATTTCAGTGAGAAAAAGTAAGCAAGGAATGAATGAATTAAGGAAGGAAGGATGGAAGGCAAGAAGGAACGAACGAACGAACGAACGAAGATAGATAGATAGATAGATAGATAGATAGATAGATAGATAGATATGAACAGACTGAAGATAGATAGATATCATGATAGATATCGTGATCATCGTCTGTTTAGTGGGAAAGAACACTACACCATTTCATTGAGAAAAGGGAAGCAAGGAATGAATGAAGGAAGGAAGGATGGATGGATGGATGGATGGATGGAAGGATAGATAGATAGATAGATAGATAGATAGATAGATATGAACAGACTGATACATAGTTTCGTATGAACAGATAGATAGATAGATAGATAGATAGATAGATAGATATGAACAGACTGATACATAGTTTCGTATGAACAGATAGATAGATAGATAGATAGATAGATAGATAGATAGATAGATAGATAGATAGATATGAACAGACTGATACATAGTTTCGTATGAACAGATAGATAGATAGATAGATAGATAGATAGATAGATAGATATGAACAGACTGATACATAGTTTGATATGAACAGACTGATAGATAGATAGATAGATAGATAGATAGATAGATAGATAGATAGATATGAACAGACTGATACATAGTTTGATATAAGCAGATAGATAGATAGATAGATAGATATGAACAGACTGATACATAGTTTGATATGAACAGACTGATAGATAGATAGATAGATAGATAGATAGATATGAACAGACTGAAGATAGATAGATATCATGATAGATATCGTGATCATCGCCTGTTTAGTGGGAAATAACACTACACCATTTCATTGAGAAAAGGGAAGCAATGAATGAATGATCGAAGGAAGGAAGGATGGATCGAAGGAACGAATGAACGAAGATACATAGATAGATAGATAATGAGCAGATAGATAGATAGATAGATAGATAGATAGATAGATAGATAGATATGAACAAACTGATACATAGTTTGATATGAACAGACTGATAGATAGATAGATAGATAGATAGATAGATAGATAGATAGATAGATAGATAGGAACAGACTGATACATAGTTTGATATGAACAGATAGATAGATAGATAGATAGATAGATAGATAGATAGATAGATAGATAGATAGATATGAGCAGACTGATACATAGTTTGATATAAACAGACTGATAGATAGATAGATAGATAGATAGATAGATAGAACAGACTGATATGTGGCACCATTTACCAAGGCAAAAAAGAAAAGAAAAGAAAAAAAAAGAAAAGAAAGGAAAAGAGAGGCGAAGACCCAAAGCGTGGATGATAAGCAGAACACACACGGCTAAGAGACAATGGATTTTGATAAGTAACAAATGGCGAAGAGTGTCATTACAGAGGCAGGGAAATTCTGAGTGGATAAAGGAATCGGGTGTGTTCTGGCGACGGGCTGTTTTATCGGGTTACATAAACAAACCGCTAATGCGGGAAGGCATCTGATTAGCAAACCAAAGACCGACTAGCCAAAGAAAAATCCAAATGAAAATGTTATTTTGATAAGTGACGAAAAACAGGTGGACTACAGGGCTTTGGATAGATATGAAAAATTAATTGTGTCAAAAGCCGCACACGAGGTGGCCACTGGCCGTTTTCTTTCGACAGAACATCTTTAGCCTGCGATGATAAAACTATGTTATCAGAAATATGTACCGAAAAAATGAATGGGAACCTAGAAATGTTTCTTTTCGAGGCGACGGTCTGGCCGTGTTAAAAAGACCACCCATTCTGATAATTAGCGATAAGATGACTGACGAAGCCCAGGTGAGAACAAGAATTATGACCACCATCGATCGTGTTTGCGGCTAGAGAAAATGATAACTGCGATTAAAAGAAAGAAAAGGAAAAGAAAAAGGTTTTTTTTTTTTTTTTGTTAAGCAAGATATTTTTTTTCCTGAAACAAAGCCGCGGGATCGTACACGCCCGACTAGACATCATTGGTTGAGTGGTGATCACGTGACGCACGGAGGAGGCTGTCACCGCCCATTTAGAGGATGGGTATGAGAGGTTGCTACAAAGAAGTGGGGAGGGCAGTTCACGCCCCTCTGAAGTATGATGAGGAGGTGGAAGTAAGAGAAGGCTCCCAAAAATGGAAAAAAAGTGGAAAATTCCTAACCAGAAATAAAAGAGGTGGATATGTATTTAGAATTATCGAGGACCCCCCGGCGCCGACAAATCCACCCCGGTTTTGGTCGGCGTCCATATAAGCAAGACCGCAGCGAGCAGAAATCAGTTAGAGTTTCAGTTCCAGTTCCAGCAGAGAGTTTGAAGTTCGCAGTGGAAGTTGGTTCCACCTCGCAGATAGCTGACTTGAAAGATTCACGCAAATTCCGGACTCCTCTTCAATCCAAGAACAATTAATTTGAAGACCGACTTAGATCCAGACCACCAAAATAAGTTTTTTTCGACTTTCGCCCGAAGACACGCCGAAAAACCAATTTCTTAAAGAGCAAACAACTTGAAGCGTTAAAACTTGCCTAACGGAAAACAACGTGTCACAATCCATAGAACGGGTCGGGAAATAGACGCAGTCCTATGTATCCAACAACTAGACATAAAGTTTGTTAGCCTTTTTTTGATACCTTGAATTTTTGAGTTATCCTTTTATTTTATTTTATGCATATTTGTGCGGTGTCACCCCCGTTTGAACCCGATTTGCATTACGGCCCCAACTACTGATTGATCTTGTCTGCCTAAGATCAATTCACAACGTGGGTAGGCAGACTGGAGATCAATGCAGTTACTTTGGTAACCAGGCGTTGGAAGCGAGTTGGGAACGACGAGGCTGATATCGAATCTAACCAGATTCCCATCCGAATCACCACGTCGGATGGGACGTTAGAACGTCGCATTTGGGTGCCGCGACCGATACCAAGCCAGTTGGTCGTCACAGGACGAGACAACACGACTGACGCGACAGGCGGACGTCACGTTTGGAGCGGCGACACCCGAACGGAGCAGCGAGGAGCGAGCGAAGGCTGTGTTTAGGGACGTCGCAGCTGACGCCGCGACCAAGGACGTCACAGCTGGCGCTGCGACAAGGACGTCACAGATACATAGTTTGATATGAACAGACTGATAGATAGATAGATAGATAGATAGATGGATAGATAGATAGATAGATATGAACAGACTGATACATAGTTTGATATGAACAGATAGATAGATAGATAGATAGATAGATAGATAGATAGATAGATAGATAGATAGATATGAACAGACTGAAGATAGATAGATATCATGATAGATATCGTGATCATCGTCTGTTTAGTGGGAAAGAACACTACACCATTTCATTGAGAAAAGGGAAGCAAGGAATGAATGAAGGAAGGAAGGATGGATGGATGGATGGATGGATGGATGGATGGAAGGATAGATAGATAGATAGATAGATAGATAGATAGATAGATAGATAGATAGGAACAGACTGATACATAGTTTGATATGAACAGACTGATAGATAGATAGATAGATAGATAGATAGATAGATAGATAGATAGATAGATAGATAGATAGATAGAACTGTTTCACATTCCCTGCAAATACCTTATAAATAATGGACGTTTTGATGCGGGATAGAATGGAAAGACACTACTTGGTTTCAATGAGAAAATGAAAGAATGAATAAAAGAAAAAAGATGAAAGTGTTTAAAGTCTGTTTAAGTGAAATGGGAAAATTTGTCAATTTCAAATCTTTTCATTTGTAGTTAGTTCCTACAATGACAACCAGCATTTCTATTTATGATTGTTATTGCAAAGTTTTGTTCAGGTTGTTAAGCTCAAATAGTTAAAAATGCGATAGAGGAATTTCTACGGATATTTTATCGTCGTAGAACTCGCTATGAGCTTATTCAATCATTAACTTAAGAATTAAAATTCATAAAAAATAGATGAAATTTTCACGGGTTAAATCTAATTATAATTATTATTATTTTTATTTTCTTTGATTTCTGGCGTTTACACATTTACCAGGGACCTAAGGTTAGAAATGGCGTCATGACACTTTCTACTGACAAAAAAAAAAAATTAAATTACATAGACAAAGCCCTTCGTAATGTGTGGTCTGTACTTGTCAGAACAATTTTTTGTATCTCCTTGAGGCATGGAGTTCCAGGAATCCCTTCAATTAGTCTACTGCAATCTTTTCCAACCAGTCCTAGGGCTCCAACTACAACAGGGATTGTTGATGTTCCTATATGCCACATTTTCGAGATTTCTATTTCAAGGTCCTTGTATTTTGACAACTTTTTGAATATCTTCAAAGATACATTGCAGTCAGCAGAGACTGCCATATCAATAAGGAGGCACCGTTTTTGTTTGTGGTCTTTAATAACAATATCTGAGCGGTTGGCCTTGATTGTTCTGTCAGTGTGTAGTCCCATAGAATTGTAACAGGTCCTATCTCCGTAACCGTGTCTGTGTGGTGTTCATACCAGTTATTATTATTATTATTATTATTATTAGTAGTAGTAGTAGTAGTAGTAGTAGTAGTAGTAGTATCCTTTCCTTCCGGGTCCCAACCAGAGATCTGAAATCTGAAAATTTTTGTATAAAAATATAAAAATAAAACTACCCAATATCACATACATCTTACATTGATAAAGCCCTTTATGAACTGTGATATATATATATATATATATATATATATATATATATATATATATATATATATATATATATATTATATTTTGTATTTCTTTAAGGCATGGGCAACTAGGGTTCCCTTCAGTGAGTTTATATAATCAAACCGAGGGCTCCAACCAAAACTTGAATTACTGATGTCTTCACATGCCACATTTCTAGATTTCTAAATCAAGATCCTTGTAATTTGATAGATCTTGTAAGATCTTCAAAGTTACATTACAGTCTGAATTTTGAATTTGTGGTCCTTCATGTCTAGGCGATTAGATTTAATTATTTTCTCTTTGTGTATTGTAAACTACTATAAAATTGTTACAGGTCCTATGTCTTCGTGGTGTTCATGCCAGTTCCGTGCATTTTCCTTCTCGTAAACGTTGCAGATTTTCGAGTACAGATTCTCCAGGGCAAATATAGGCCCCCATCCTAGCTAGCTAGCTAGAAAACTAGCTAGCTAGAAAATGTATGTCCCAGTCCCTAGAAACG